CCAGTGCCCCTGGACTATGAGCTTCACAAGTGCTTCTTGGTGTGTTACCTCCCTTGGGGGGAACAGGATGGCTAGAGCACACTGAGATTGGGTATTTTTCTTTTCTATGGGGAAGGCTTGAGGGGGGTGGAGCTGGGTATTTCCCTCCCCAGGTCAGTCAGACTCTGATAAAAACCCAGTAGGTTAGGCTCTGGTAAAATAGGTTCTGTTGAGGGCAGGTCTTGTTAAGAACAGAATGATCTGGTGTATTCCAAAATGATTGCTTTTTCCCTTCCCCTGCTGGAAGCAAGAGGGGATTTTTTCTCTGATAGTCACTGTGAGAACCTGGTAATGGTAAAGTGGCTGGAGGTAAAAGTCACAAAAGGGTGAAGGCCCTCTTATGAATGGGCCCCCCTAGAATTTTTAACTCTTAGACATGTCCACATTGAGCCTCCAGTAATTCCTCAGTTACAGGTTAAGAATTTCTGCTTGGCTACTGGTTCTTTTGTAGGTTTCTGCTCATGGATTTCTGCTCCAGTAAGTTGTGATTCTCAGTTTTTGCCTGCCTGTTTCTCCAATTTTGGAGAGAGAGGTTTGTCCTGTGACCTCACTTCTCTGATCTATCTAAGAGGGGGCTGTTGGTTTTTCAGTTTTTCCTCTTTTAGATGTTGTTAGGGTGGTGCAACTACTTCAAAGTTTCTTATGTGCAGGACCAGAAACTGAAAGTCTCTTAGGTAACCTTTTCAGAGGACTATTAAGCAGGAAGTTACTTAAACACCAACCAACTATATGCAACTCTCCATATCCATGGTGTAGTAGTCCATTTCTGTTGCTTATAACAAAATACCTGGAACTGAGTAATTTGTAAGAAAATGAAATTCATTGCTTATGGCTTCAGTGGCTGGGAAGCCCAGAATCCAGGGAACACATCTGGGGAAGGCCTTGTTGGTGGTGACAGTGATGCAGGGGCCTCACATGGCAGAATGGCAGAGCAGAGAGAGAGATGCTCATGAGTTCTCCTTTTAAAGCCCTCAGAACTATGCCCATGACCACCATTAAACCATAAACTTTTAATCCCTTTACCGGGGCACAGTTCTCACAATCTAATCACCTCTTCAAGGCCCCATCATTCAATAACCATAATAGGATTTCCCACCCTCAACAGTTACAGTGGGGATTAAGCTTCAATAAATTTGGGGCAGGGGGACATTCAATTCACTGCACATGGGTTCTGCATTCATGGATTCAACCAACCACAGCTTGAAATTTTTTTTTTTGAAAAAAAACCTGTATCTGAACTGAACATTACAGACTATTTTCTTGTCATTATTCCCTATGAAATACAATATAACAAATATTTACATAATATTTACACTTATTAGGTGTTATAAGTAATCTAGAGGTGATTTAAAGGACACAAGAGGATATTCATAGGTCATAT